TTTGTGCACTGGGAAACTTAAACCTCTCTTTTCTGTTTGGCATCTAGTCTACATTCCAGTTCTTGGGATGAGAGTTAAGATCTCAGCTCTCCCCGTGTTGCTGTGCAGTCTGCAGGGAGGTGTATGTTTGTGGCTGCTTTTTTTTTTTTATTATTATTTTCTTTCTCAGTAAACCTGTCTTAAATGGGTGAATGCTTAGATTCAGAATGGACCAGAGTCAGTGTGCATATTTACCTCACCACCAGGGTTATTGGTGAGCAAGTATGATTTCCAGTTCTTCCAGTAAAGACAGAGATCATTTTTAGGATGTAAGCTGAGAGACCACTGCTGCATTTGTCTAATAAGCAAAACCAATTTTAATTAACTTAAGTTAGTCTAGCCTTTTTAGCCATAGGGGCCCAACTGGGCTTCTGGGACAGCTCTTGGGGGTTGAAACTCCTTTACAGCCCATGCAAGCAGCCTTCCTCCTCTGCAGGACAAGCCTGACTGGGCCTGAAAAGAGAGCGAGAACTTCAGAGAGCCTGCTCCAGCCTACTGCAGGAGGGTGAGGAATCATGAGGAGCATTGAATGCTGGTGGATGGTGCTGTCTGTCAGGTTACAGTGCACAGGAGGAGGTGATTGGGGAAGCAGTTTCTCCCTCAACAGCTGTACTCCCACCTTCTCTCTCTGAGAAGAGGAAAATTGACAGGCTAAATAGTCATCTTATGGACTGGGACTGACTGCTAAGTTACTTGTTGGATCTTGTTGACTGATGAAGTAGCAAACAGCTGTAAACACACTTGCTAATGGATTTAGTCTGTGCCTTTGTGGGCTGCTCTAGGAAATGTTGGTTTGAGCCCCTTAATGTATAACCTGCTGATTAATGGTTGGACTAGATGATTTTTAAGGTCTTTTCCAACCCAGATGATTCTGTTTATTTTGAAGAATATGGAGCTGGAAAGGTCAGGATTATCACCATTCTGTACAACTCCTCTGCCTGAGCAGGTGAAGTTTTGTAAAGGCATCTGAAATTAGATGTACACAAAGCTGAAAGCCTGCTTCAAGATGTTGTTGAAAATGTTGGATACAGTGATCTTCCAAGGTGATGATGGCAATAATGATTTTATTGCTGCTATTGCCAGGTTTATGTTCAAGTTAAGTTACTTCTTTGACCTTTCTGTAAGTGCAGGAAATAGAACAGGAATAGCATAAGCAGTTTCCGACTGTGTGTGTGAGGCACGTGTGCTCATCGGGTTAAACATTTCTTAAAGCATTCCTGAGACTTTGACATTTGTAGCTGGTTAAGATACTGTTACCTGACACATGACCTCTTTGTATTGATTCACTTATGACTTACACTTGCCATAGTTTGTATGCCTGCCAGATTTTAAAATCGAGTATATATTTTCAGGAAGGTGTGGATAGACCAGAGATATTAAGAAAATAAAGGAATTTTTGGTGCTTTTTAAATAGTACACTCCAACCATCATAATCTGCCAGGATTAGAGGAGTAGAGGGTTGAAAATTAATTTACGAGTCAAGATAAAAGTTGAAAGAGGAAGGAATGTCTAAATTTATATTAATGAATATTTAACAAATGCCTAATATAACTTTTCTTGGATTGTTACATTTTTAACATGGTTCCAGTTGTTAAGGAAGGTGCAAACGATAATGACCACTGTATTCAAGTCATCCTTAGTTTATTTCCTTATACTGGGAGAATATTACTTTTTTTTTGTCGACTGATCTGTTTTCCACGATTTAAAAAAAAAAGAAAAAAAAAGAATTCCCAAGCTATAAATGAACTAATAATGAATAGCAGTGTAAATTATGCTTTTGTTCTATAAATAAATACACATATTTCTGTAGCTTTTTATGACAAGCACTGGGTTTTAAGTACTGGAAAACAGTGCGAATGGCTCCTTATTTAATCTAGTATTGTGCCTGTTTTAATAATTTCATTTTTATTTCTGTCAGAAGAACAACTCTACAATTCACTGTAAAATGACACAAGATACTCTTAAAACCAAAGACTTGACAGTTTCCATATATACATGTATAAACTCACATACATGATCATTTCCATGAGGAGGAAATATTCCTCTTGTTTTTATATATGGGCCTGGTATGAAGCTCCATGAGAATGACCAAAGATCTACAAAATCCCACTTCACCAAGAAATACTCAAGAGCTCTGTTATTTAACCCAGACACAGAAAGCAAAGGGGGTGACAAATCATAAATACCTGTATGTCACGCAAAATTTTGCTGGAGAGGCATCTTAACAAAAGCTTAAGTTGTGCAAAATGAGAAATTACTTTTTTGGAAGGGAGGGAGGCTTGTTTTTCTTTTAATGAAAGAGTTACTGATGTATCATACCACTGGCAGCATTGGAATCTCTTTGTTGGCAGTCGCTGAGGGAACATCCCATTTTGATTTAAAGATTATTTTCTGTTTCAAATTCCTGTAGTGGTTCCCATGGTTAATGCTGCACAGGAGTGTAGCAGACCAAGTGATTTGCAGCCAGTCTTGCTGGTTTATAAACCACAGCCTTTTCTGCATATGTGTTTTTTTGGTTGGTGTTTTGTGTGGTTTTTTTTTTCTTTCTGTTACATCCCGGTGCTATGGTCTGACTCGGACTTCATGTTCAGCATGCATTCACTGCCTGTTGATCTTAATTTCAGTTGTTTGAACTTTTACACAAAAAAACTCCTAGTAAGGGACTTCTTGTTAGATACTTATTTTTAACCTTCTGACCACTTAAGTGCTCAGTTGCTTCCTTTAAATGCTTTTTAATGATTCTACTAACTGTGGTGCTCTTACCTTCTGGCAGCTACTGTCATCCTCTGAGCTTTGCTCTGAGGAGGCCTCAACTTTCTCCCTCACTTTGTCAGTATCAAGGAAACTGGCAGAAACAATTTAAACTTCTTTAAGTTTTTCAGTATAGAAGGACTATTCTGTGATTTTTGTGAGCAGTTCTTCCCTCTGACTTGTGAGAATCCTTGCGTTGAGCAAGGAGAGATCCTTCAATCTTCAGGTGATTCTGTTGTGTCCCAGGAAACATTTCTGGTGCTCGATCCCATTATAAATCCAAATGACAATTTCAGCCCCTAAGGATTTCCACACAGAAGTTTTGGGAGGCTGAGAAAATTTGAAAAACCCGAGTATCCTAAAATCGGTCCTGGAGACCCCTGGTAACTAATTGAGTAGTTAGGATATATGTTCACAGGCTGCCAGGTGGGCTAAATCCATCCTAGAACCACAGTTCACCTGCTGTTTGGGGCATTTGACTGCCCCGGCTGTCTTTGGGCAGGAGCTGGTGGTAGCTCAGCGAGTGGATGGTTGTCCACTCTCAAAGCCTTGGAGTGCACTGTTGAGCATATCCCTTGGCTGGATATGTCAACATGGCAGAAGTTGCTCCATCCTTCCCCTACCTACCAGCTTGACACAAGAGTCTCCTGTGTCATGGTTAGGCTGGTGCTGCTGTATGCTTTTGAAAGACAAAATTGTCAGGTTTCCTCCTGTTGTTCCCACCAATGGTGTGCTGAAAGGTGCTTTAAGTGTGTTTGACAAAATCAGTAAATGGATGAAGAAAGAAAATGTTCAGTCCAGGAGAACACATGCTCTGAACTTAGGAAGTATCTGTTGGATGGATGACTGCAGCATGCAGTTTGGCCCAGACTTGCCAGATATTTGGGTTTCCAATTAACTACATAGTTTAGCATGCTGCCTTGGCTGTTTTAAAAATCTGGGTTGCTCTGGTTACAGTGAATTGGCAGGATGACTCCCTCCAGTAATCCCTGCATGTAGCTCCAGGGGTGGGTGGGAGTAGACAGCACTGTTCAGATTTGCGTTGTGCCAGATTCTCTAATACATCCCTCTTGTGTTTTATGATAAGAGCTTTTCAGAAGTGTTCCAGAAGGCTGGTTGAATTCTGCAATGTTTTACCTGAAACTTTTCACATTTGGGGCGGGGTGGGGAGGGGGAAGAGAGAGAAAGCCTTCTGTTATATCTAAGGTGGGCTTCCAGGGAGCTCTTCATGGACCCATGGTAGCTCAGCCCCATGGCTCTGCTAAGCCCAGCCCTGGGCATTGATTTACTATGTGGGTCTGCCTTATGACTGAGACCAAAAGAATCCCACCTGCTCCTCCACACCTCCCAACACTTTTGCCATCTTTTCCATGCTGCTGTTGCATTCAAAAGTTCTAGCCTTTGCTGAAATTTCAAACATTTTTACGATTTTGAGTTATGTTTGTACCAAACCCAACCCTCCCCATCTCCGGTGACATTACATGTGAATTGGAAACTGTGTTTGCTGGCCAGATCTAATAAGCTCCACCATTCTGTCTTATAATGATGTACTGTGTAATTTTTTTCCTCTTTAGTATGGCTCTGAGGCCGTTTATCATAAGTGGACTGGTGTCTACTCACCCAGTCAACTAAACCTCTTTTTTCTTGACTTTACACCTCTTGAATTTATAACTTAAGGTTAATTTAAGGTTTTCTTAATGTACATAAATGTAAATATTTTGACATATATATTAATGCCTAATGGCTTTCACTGGGTGTTAGAAGATTATTATTTGCATTCCGTTGCCTATTTATTTGTAGTGTTCCTTGTTGCAGAAATGAAAATAATTTATCCTATGTCTTATTCTGGTGTTCAGTCACTGAAGACTGTCAACCTGATCTTCAGGTCTTAATGGCATAAGACAGCTGGAGTTTGCCTGCACCCTCTAAATTTCTGAAATATCTGCATTTGTTTTAGATTTAATTTTCCTGACAGTGGATTCAAATAAGGAATAGAAATTTTGAAAACGTGAATGAACTTTTTTTTTTTTTTTTTTTTTTTTTTTTTTTTTTTTTTTTGGTGGGGGGATAGGACTTATGACTCCTAACTTGCATGTTTCTCCTTTATTTTACCCCAGAGCTTGCTTGCTTTTTTCTTTTTATTGCTGATGCTAAGCGATTTGTCAGTCTGGCTACAGAAACCTAACCCATGGTTTTTTTTTTTTCATTAGGCACTCAGTGTTACTGAAACTCTGATCAAACCTTTGGAAAGATTTAGGAAAGAGCAGCTAGGAGCTGTAAAGGTTTGTCCCTCATTGCCTTTATGATAAGTTTGTTTAATTTCTCTACTTAGATTGCATTGCAGTAATGACATGTGTTTGGCAGAGAGATACTGTTGTTTATATTTTGTGTATTCACACTTTTTTTTTTACTTTGAGAACTTGCGTCAAAAGCAAATGGAAAGTATGTTTCAAGAGGAGAAGAATGTGTCCTTTCCATTCCTTCTCTCCTCCCCCTCCCTTATCTCTTGTCTGGAATAGGAACAATCCAGCTAACAGCCTGCCCATCTTCCTAATGGGTAACCCTGTACTGCTTTATATTTGCTTGTGGTTGCAGCCAAAAGCTGAGAAATATTAACTTGCTCATTCATATGCTTTTAACAGCATTTTTGCAAACTGCTAAGTGAAAATTACATTTATTTTATTTTTTCGTTTGAATAAATAACTCATTGCCTCTGAGTGGAAGAAAACAGGAATGGAGAGGCTCAAGACAAGATCTTGTTCAAAGTTTGTTTTTTTTGATGAAAGTGTTAAGTAAATTTTTTTAAGATTGTCACTGTTATGTATATTTGGAAAAAAAAAAAAAAAGGCAAATTAAACTTCATGTACTAAGTATGGACTAGTTTGGGGTAAAAGTAACAAGGACAAGTTTGATCTCTTTCTACCTGTCTACCTTCCTTCTTCCAGTGAGAAATCTAAATGCTTATTAAAAAAATAAAAACCAACCAAACAAAAAAACACCCAAAAAAAGAAAAACCCCAGATATTCAACAGTTTTCTGTTGCAAAACTTAATTCATACATTTTAAACTACTACTCTGCTGATGTTTTATTTTATAATGTCATGACTTCACCAGCAGTGGTATTTAATAGGGAAGATATTTCAGTTAGTGCTATACATCTTGACTTTAGCAGGAATGATTAACATGTTTCGAATATGATTTCACTGTTCATGAACAGAAAATGCTCTGTTGATCATAAATCATTACAGTTCAGTAGTATAATGAGCTTTGTGTAATTTTATGGACTTTAGAGTATATTAGATGACCTAACCAAGATACAATAAAAACTTGTCTGAAATATAGGGAGCTTTCCATGAAAAAAAAGAATTAATTCTAAGTGTAACCTGTGGTCTTCAAAGCAGCTGTAATGAATGGATTATTTCAACAGTATTTTTGGTGTTAAAGAACATTGCCGGTTTTGGGGTGAGAAGTCCTAATGCTTTAATTTATTTCATGATCTTCACTCATTTCCTAGTCAAAATTCTCTCTCTGTTTCTAACATGACAAGTTATGTTCACACAGTCTATATCTCACACTTTGTTTGAATGGATTTTTTTTTTTTTCCCCCCTGTGTCCCTGCATGCTGTTTCTGTGAAAATGAAACTCTTATTTTGTGATTTAACCCTTTATTTGGGACAGAATTCTCAGTGACCTTAAGTAGAACAGTCTTGCATAATTGTGTGATATTTAAATAAAAATCCTCTAAAAAAACCAACAACCCTCTGAAGATTATATTGAATAAAAATTCAGTTAAGAATAAAGTGCTGGTGCTGGAAGTACAGTACTTCTTAGCTCAGAAAACCCAAGTTATGGCATCTACTAGTGGAATATATCTGGAACAATGAGTAGTATTTGCTTTAGGAAAAATTTACACTCTACCATTACAAAATAAAAGTTGTATCTGCTGCCTCAGATTTTCCTGTATCTTATATCCTCTGCTGATGAAATGGTCTGAGTTAGGTTTAAGAAGTAGTTTAGCTCCATAGTGCTGGAAACTGAGACCTTTATTGAATAACGCCTTAGTAGAAGGTATTGCTACTCTAATCCCAAACTCTATGTGCAAAGGTTCTGGCTTTGCCTATTTAGAAGTCAATAGTGCTCTTTTTTTTTTTTTTTTCCTGGTAGCACTCAAATGTTGACCATTTCAATGGAAATTTTGCTAATATAAACACAAAGATTTCTGCGCACCCCCTTCCACTTTATTCCTAATTTCTCATATGCTAATGTATTGTCTCTAATCACACTAATACCATATGCATATCTTATTGTTTCTCAGTCAGTAAGGAATGCTGTGGCTGATTTTTTTAAAGGAGCTACTAAGCATAATGGAAAAAAAATAATTTGGTAAAAGCCCTTGCTGAGGACCAATCCTAAAGAGCTTAGATCCCCTCTTGAATACAATGCCATCTTCAGAATCCAGTTGTTCAGAGAACAAAAACATGTATCACTCATGTATAGTATTATTAAAAATGAAAGGTTAAGAGGGGGGGAAAAAAGTGAGCAAGTATGTCTGTACAGTCTAACCAGTATGTTGGGTAGAACACATTTAAAAGAAATTCTAAATTCATAGATGATGGAAAAATATTTTTAATTGAACTGGTATCTTTCTGATGAATAAACCTGTCAGTTCTTGAATATGTAATTAAATACTTTATTTTACTATTTTCAATTCCAATTATTTATACTAAAAATAGCTTCAAAATTGTTTGGTTGATTTCATCACTACTGATTTCTTGTCTTAAAACATAGAGTTAGGGTAGTAGGACTGAGGAAATGAAAGTGTTGTTTTACAATGGCTTCTACTACCTTAGATCTAAGAACTCGGATTTCCTAGGACCATTTAATGGCTGTCCCTTTTCCAATGCATTGCTTTTGATGGTCAGAGAAATGGATTTGTATGTGCAAATGTTATTCATATGTGTCCGTGAGAGTTTCTCTCTTGTTAGCATGATTTTATGTTTTACGGAGATTTATTTTAAAAAGTCTTTGTTTTTCATGGGTGCAACAACAGCCTTGTAGAAGCAGGAATTTACCACAGAGGTCTTTAAAATCCAGAAATCTTAGTGAATGTGAAACTATATTCACTTTGGATCTTGAACTGTGGAACTGTTGGAACTTTCTCCCTGTTGATTATAAAAAGTTCTTTTTTTTCAGTGAAACTGCTATTTCCCTTGAAGTCCTCTATTCAAAAACAAGATGATGTGGGTGATCCCTGAAAATAATGAAAAATGCAGTAAATCAATACGAGTTGGGTTTTTTTTGTCTTTTTTTTAACTTAGAAGATGTAAGCATTTGTGTGATAAGCTTCACTATAATGATGCAGTGGGATTTAATTTCAAGTTAGCCTTTAAGTTAAATTTAAAAATTAGGTAGAAACATACTTTTCCATAGTTATTGAAGCTGTGATTGTTTCTGTTTGATTCTGATGAAGTAGAATTTTAAAAGAAGGAAGGATGCTTTTTTTTTATGTTTTTATATATAAATGTATTTTTTTCTTTGTTTCTGTGTCTAGGAGGAAAAGAAAAAGTTTGATAAAGAGACAGAGAAGAACTATAGTTTGTTAGAAAAACATTTGAATTTATCAGCCAAGAAGAAAGAGCTACAATTACAAGAGGTATTGTTACCCTCTTTTTTTAATGCACGCTTAAGTCTTTTAAATATTTTATGCAAATGCAAAAACAGTATTAAAAAAAAATAATTCTGTCAGCTGGAAAGATTGATGACAAAAATCAGTATTTGCTGAACTTAGTGGTGTACCCCTACCATTTTCTGAATTGGCTTTACTTGGCGTGTGTATGAAGTACTGAACATCATGTTAATCTTTTATTATAATTAAGGGAATTGCGAAGTGCAAGTGTATTTTGAAAAACTCTGCATTTCTTACGAGGCTTTACCATATATGTAATTTAGATTGCGTGGTATTGGCTAAGTGTCCTGTGTTAGTGCTTAATGCAAAGTACCGTAAGACTTGTATTCCTGAAGGAAGTAGGTTTGTGCCACTTTTTTTCTTTTTCATGTTTTGAAGATCTGTGGGTTGGGTGGTTTTTTTTTTTTTTTAAGTAATGCTACAAGTTTGTTGACAATTTCTAACATAAACAGATCAGTTTTGCCTGGCATTCCTTCTGTCCCTGTGGGTTTCTTATCATCCTTATTTGTAATAGATTTTATTCCTGGAGCAACAGCAAATAGTATGTGAGAAGGCAGCAGAGAAATCTTGCAAACTTGCTGTGGGCAGAAGGATTTTTTTTTTTTCTCCAGGAAATACAATTATGTCAGAATTACTAATGCTTAGTATATTAATACCTTGTATCATTAAACACTTAATGTTTTCCTTAGAGACAACTCTTCTCGCTGCCCTCTACCCCACTACAAATAATTTCTGCCATTATTCATAAAAAATGGTTAATTTAAGTTCCCAGCTAGCTGGGAACTTAAGAACTCTAATTGTTCTTGAGTTTTACTAGGGTGTTACTTCTCAATACTGTATTTACAACATGGGCCCTCATATGCATAAACAAGTGTCTTTTGGGGAGTTGAGCTGTCCCAGTGAAATTAATGGGCATTGCTCATGTGCCTGGACCTGTACTTTTATCAAATTGATCAGCTGCCAAAGAACTTGATGCAGAAAACATGAAAGAGTATTAGTTATGATCTCTTACTTGATGATATTGGGAACCATATCTCAAAGTCTGAAATGAGAGCTAACCTCAATGGAATAATACAAAATGCCTACAAGAGGTATTCTGAAGCTGTATCAAATATAGTCTGAAGTTTTAAAGCATGTGTGAAGACTAAAATAAGCGAATAGATTTATTTTAAATGTCCTTCAAAGTTCCATGAGCAAAATTCTGAAATTCTTCAGTCATGTGCTTTCATTTGTGCATTTAATTTTGGAGTATAAAAAAAAAAAAAAAAAAAAGGACTTGCAGCATATTTTCAGAGTACTAAATAGGAGAAACTTTATTACAGAAGCTTAGAAAATTGGTGCCTATAATAGCACAGGAGCTTTCTAATTTAGTACTAGACATTGCTAGTTGTGTCAGTTCCTGACTGGAGTAAATAAATTATGCAGGTATAAATGTGACAAAAATTTGATGAAAAACATGCCATGTTGTGGAGTGTGTCTTATACTGACATAGCTTTGGACTCTCTTAGTGGAGGGATATTTCTAAAATTTCACTGGGACACGGTGTGTGTCTTATTTCTGTATTTCTTTGGCAGTGAGCAAACTTGCTGGGTGCATGGGGGAGCTCATGCCTCAAAAAACTGAAGAGTGATGTGATAATTTATTTACAGGGTAATTTAGAGGAGTTGATAAAATGGCTGTGTTGGGGATTGTATTCTTTGAGGCCGAGGGGGGGAAGGCAACCAGGACAATTAACAAACAAAAAACAAAGAAGAAAAGTAGGAACAGGCTTATGTGGGGCTTTGGTGTATATATAGAGCAGTTTTACTATTGATTAGTCAGATGTCCTAGGAGACCCACTTCATCATCTTTTCAGTACATGTCTATTACATTAGAAGCTTTGCTGCCAACTCCATTCCTGTGTTGCATAGTTTATAGGATGCATTGAAATGGCTTGATGTTTTGAAACATGTTTTCTTACTGATGTGCATATCAGGGCTTTATTTTTTGTTGTGCCCCTTTAACTGCTGACAGGTTTCTAACACAGAACAGCAAAGCAAAGCCTGTCTTAAGGCAAAACTGTCTTAAAGCTAATTTGACTTATCCTCTTAAAGCATAGCACTGTTCTGCCTGAAGGATACAGTCTCAGTATTTAAGAGAGTGTAAGATAGTAGGTATGGTCCTTTCACCTAACTCTTTCTCCATTCCCTTTTGTAATTTAGTGTAGAAGTGTTTGCTATTGTCACATGGACAAAGACTAAGTGTTAATTACTTTGAGTATCCCTTTGTAGCCTTTCTTTTAATGTATTTTAATAAAGGTTTCCATTACCCAGTTCTTGATGAGTCATAGTTTAATGAGGACACATGTACCTTAAATAATAACTTAATGAAATAATACATATATGATAGAAAGTTAAATATTTAGGTACAGATGAATGGCAGCTGAAATATAGCTGTTCACCATCAATATATTGTTGGCATTTCAGCAAAGCTGAGCTAAAAATCAGTGACAGCTAATAAGTCTGTGTTTTTAAATATTTGACTCTGCAGAAACTTGTGAAGTGTCTTACCAATAAGTGAATATTTTTTTAAAATTACTTTTCTTGCTGGTCAGAGTGAGCACAGGTACAGTACTGTCTATTTACAGCAGTTATTTGGGTTATAGAATAAAGCTTACAGTACCAACAGTCTGGATTTCAACAATAATGTTCCTAAATTTGACTGGTGAGATGATTTCCCCCTTTTCTAATGGAAGAGGCTGCTAGCTCCCTCCCTCTGTGTGAGCAGGCACATTTTCAATGCTACTAAAGCAGTGCACAAGTACCTGCTCTGATGTATTTGGCTTGGATTCCATAAAAAAAGAGGCTCAAAGAGATGTTACTGCAATGTTTCTAAAAATTTAGCCTCATGATTCAAAACAACATACGTTATCTAGTAAAAGGGAATTGCTACTGTCGTTTAAAAGTAAATGAATGAGCTGTGTTGTAAAGCAACAAATCCCAGTCTGGAGAAAATTATCCTATTGCTTGCCACTTGTATGCTATACATGTGTCATTTTGAAGCTATCTGTAAAATGTCTTTGGAACTTCATGAGCTATATTCTGTGTGCAGGCAGATAACCAAGTGGAGCAGAATAGAAAACACTTCTATGAGCTGTCCCTCGAGTATGTATGCAAGTTGCAAGAGATACAGGAGCGGAAGAAATTTGAATGTGTGGAACCTGTAAGTACCAGAAAATTCAGCCTACCCTGTAATTCATAAGGGATGGAGAAGGAATGCAGTTGGACAAAAGCCAAGGAGCTCTGTTTTCTGGGAAAACTTATGCAACTGTGTGACTTAACAGAATTTAAAGCACTCTTTGTTACACCTGTGCAAATTCCTAGTACAGATACACTTAATGCAGGCATCTCAAATTTTACCTCAGTAATTACAGTTGCTTTGTATCTGTTGATGCTGATTTTCAGAAAATGTGTGAAACCTTGTTCTGTACTGCAAACCCCTTGATTTATGGTGTAAGTTAGAACAGAGGATTCAAGAAGTTGATGTTGGGGTCAGACTTTTTGCATTTGTTTGGGTTTTTTTTAACAACCAAAATATTATTCCTGACTAATGAAGGTATTTTGTTTTCAGTGTGAAGGTTGTACTTAAAGGCCTGTTGGTGAAGAAGTGCAGATATAAATTAATTAATTAAGAGGGTGCTGCTGGTTAAAAAGCTCATTATCGGGTAGTCTGATGGGTTTGACTTCAATTGCAGTTGAAGCTGTGCAGAAATTAAGGGATTCCACTAAATTTCAGTGAAAATCATACATGTACCGTCCAGACTTAAATATCTGAAAAGAGCTTATTCTAAAATTTTCTGAAAAGTGCATTAGCTTTGTAGTACAAATGCAACTTTATGAAACAACAAGAGAATGGTGAGTGTAATACTGAGATAGAGAGGATGGACTGTAGAAGTGACTTCCATTCACTTGTGCTCTGAAGTCTGTGTTTTTGGACCAAGTCTGTCTTTTTATTCTGACAGAATTATTTTAATGTAATAATGAAAAAAGTCCCAAATGACCCTAATCAAAATAGATATTAATGTTAATGAGATGTTAATGTTAGTACTTAATGAGTTGTATTTTGATATAGCTTATTCCCATATGAAAAAATTGTTAAAATCCTTAAGCGGGAATAAATTGCTTTAAATATATTAGCGTTGTTCAAGGAATGGGAAAATGTGAAAAATGGTGTGGGATTTTTTGTTGATGTGTTGGTGCTTTTTGTTTTTTTTAAAAAGCATTCTAAATAGTTTTGTATGTAGTTGTGTTTCAAACCACCTGAAGTTTCCTCAGAGCAGACTAGAGTAATGAATCTTCAAATTATATTTTTGAAACATGTCCCTTTCTCTTTTCTGGAAACTTGCTCTGGATGAGACTGAACTGTTGCTCAATTTATATTTGGAGTTTACACTAGGGTAGTAAACTTAAATTATTTAGTATCAAATTCTTGTCCTGTTCTCCATTTTAATTTTTTTACATTTTTGAAAATGGTTTATTTGCATATGGCTTCAGACTTTATTAAAAAGAGAGTTCTTTCCTCTGTGTCACTCGCTGCTTTCCAACAATCTGAACCAAACAGGTGGTAAGCACTGCGCCTCACCCTGTTCCCAGTGTGATATAACCCTTTATTTCGTTGTATTGAAACACTGAAGTCAAACTGCAACATTTCCCAATTCTGATGGAGGGTCAGATCTGCATACAAAAAGCACTGATGGGTAAAGACACTGGATGGAGAGCTTCATTCTTTGAACAAACCAGTTGACTCTGTTATGAAAGTCATCTCAGCATGGTCGTTTAGCAGGGAGGGGAATGGCCAGGAAATGGTGACTAAAAGGCAGAATGATTTTTACCTCCTTGAGCACAAATATTTATTCCAGACATCATTTGTATCAGAGCAGATGTAGGAAAACATTACGTAGGAAAGTTTGGAAGATAGGCAGTATACATCACCTGTGGTCAAATTTAAAGTAGAGATCATTTGAGACAAGGCCACCTAAAAATGATGTGTACATAGCTGATCATTTCGTTCTAAATAGGTATTCATAAATTGTAGGCACTAGCGGAAATTTGCTTAAAAATAACCATTTTGTCATCTCTAATCTTTCCAAGACAGTCTACGTGCAGCAATCATATTCTGGTAAATGGAGTTTTTCATTCTAACACTTTTTTTTTTTGTATTTCAGGTGCTATCATTTTTTCAGGGTTTGTTCACTTTCTATCATCAGGGATATGAACTTGCTAAAGACTTCAATCATTATAAAATGACTCTGCAGATAAACATACAAAATGTAAGTTGAGATTAATATCTATGCCTTTTTCTAATTTTGGGTGAAATCACACACTTCACTGTATCGGCAGCATCTCTATTGCCAGTACGTTCCCTGGTGCTAATGCATTGCCTGGGGATATAGTGCCATCTCCTGGCTAACTAGCCACATCACTGAACAAATCGTCACTAATTCCAGTGAGTTCTTCATTTTTTTTAAATCTCCTTTAAAAAATAAACACCAAGTAAAAGGTCCCCCAGTGTTTTATAGCACAAGGACTGTAATTAAAGAATTTAAACCGGAACGAAGTCTGTTAAATGCCTACAACACTGGAGAATTCAGAGAACAGGTAATGAACTACCAAGGTTCTTGGTGTTTTAGGTGTGCTTGAAATCAAGTATGTGGTGGTCATGTCTGAGGGTCATTGCTCGATAAGGGCTCTATTATCCACAACTAAGTAAAGGAAAGAAAAATAGCTGGTCTCACCAGATTTTTTTTTTTTTTTGGCATCTCTGCCTGCAGTGTGACTTGGAGTTTCTGTCTTGAAGCAGCCTTTTCAGGCAAGAACATCCCTGTTGGCTTGGGGTGCAGAACTGTATAAGGAGAGTTAGCTGTTAGCACCCCTGGCATATTTGACAAAAAGATGTGGCCCTTCAAGGGTAGGCTAACTGGGGCCCACCACTAGTCAGTGTATCCTCACGCCAAATTACCTGACGTGATCCGCTCAGGACTGGGAGAGCAGGAAGCAAGGTGACAGGCTGAGGCAATGGGACTGACGGCATCAATAGTCAAGTCGTCTGTTTACTTCCTTGACATTTGTTGAAGAATAAAACTCACTCCGAGCAACTTTGTCGTGCCAGAGGCCTGTTGGTAGGAAACAAACCATGTACCTATTGTAAACAAGCAATTCATGGTGGTGTGTCTCTTTTGTTGACCTCTAAGGGCACCTGGAATTAAGACACAGAAACTAGTTCTCGGAGGTTGCAGTTTATTTTTAGAAATGGCTTAACTAACAGACAGTAGCAGGGAGGTGGAAAGGTGGAAGAGAGGACTACAGTTGTTGTAATACAGTGTGATATGATTCATGTGTCATGATACCATTCCTTTAATTTTCTTCCTGTATGTTTAAGTATCAAGTTTTCTCTTAAGATGTTGTTTGGTTTGGGTAGGGGAACTGAGTAGTGGTAACTTCATAAGCAGACTTTCATGGGAGAAGTCAGTGTTTCTGGAGGAAATTTGAGGCCAGACTTGCTGCTTCTGCCTGCTTAGCTTAACAGTGAGGAGCAGCATGGAGCTGCAGTGGATAGAGGGGAGTTGATGCAAGATGAGCAAGAAATGAAACTTGAGAGGGAAGCTGGGATAGAGTTTTTTGAAGAGCTGGATTTCAGATTACAGATGGAAAAGAGGCACTGAAGTGGTTTTAAGAAGTGATGAACAATAAGAAAGTAAGCTAATCTCAACACCTGCATTTTCAATTGACTGAATGGTATTATAGTGTGCCCCAGGAAATCCAAAACAGATTGAGCATTGCAGTTCAAGTTTCATGAATAGATAGAATTTCCTGGATTTCAAAAAGCTGTAGAGAGAAAGGAGGCAAGACTTAACAACTCTCTGAGGTAAGAGGAGAATAGAAGGAAGCATCTGAAAAGATCGTGAGAGGACATGACACATTCTCCACAGTGTTGAAGATGAACAAAACATCCCAAAGAAAAATGAACTAAGGCTTGGCTGTGGTACAGCTGAGCTGCTGGCAGAGCACTGGATTGACGTGTTAGAAATTGAAGGGTACAAGATTCCATTCAGAGAGCCTAGCTGGATATGAAGAATGATTTGAGAGCTGCCAGTGTAGCTGTAGTAATTGCCTTCCCTTTGATTCAGGTTGTCTTTGCTTTGGGAATCATGCTGTGGATTTTCTCTCCACCCTGCGCCCCCCCCCCCTTTCCCCAAATGAAACACAGAAAAAGAAAAAGCTGCCTAAGCTCCAGTATACTGATTCTGCCAACAGTCTTACTCACTTGTAAAAATCCTGCATCTTCAACTAGCTCCCCCAGACTCCTAGGACTTTTCTGTTATTTCAGTTCTGTGCCCAACCCCACACAAGGATCCTTGTAGCCTTGACCTTCTCCTGCCCCACAAGCAAACCTGGCCTTACCTGGGAAAAGGAGGCATAGCCACGCTGGTGCAGGAGCTTTGTTCAACTCCTGGTTAAGCTCAGCTTTGTCACAGCACAGAGGGAGACAGAAATTTTCTTGAGGTTTCCAGAGCCTGTGGTGCTCCATCCCGCCACTCCCAGGGTGCATTTCGCACACTTGTATTTCTGATCACTGCATAGCTAAGAGAGAGACTCTGGCAGGATCATTTAAAACATCTAACCTCGAAGTAATCGGTGCTCAGACAGGAAGTTTTAGGTATGAGCAACCTGTTGCTGTTGCGTTTTTTGCCTTTGTCCTGAGTACGGAGTGTGTGTGTGTGTGTGTATATATATATATATATATATATTTTTTTTTTTTTTAATACAGCTCTTCTAGGAAATCATGAAAAGGAATGTAAAAAATTGTTTGAAGCCTTGGAAATGAGTTTGTGCGGGGTCTAACTCCAAAATTTGTAAGCGGATGTGACCTGAAATTAAGATTATGGATATGGAGAGGGTTCTAGAACACTTGTTATGCCTAGAGGAGGGGTGGTTCTTAGTTATCCCCTAAAAATATCTGCTGCTTTCCTCTACAAAACATAGGGCTATGAGTGGCTGCTGTGACCAGTTTGCATGGACTGTGTTTGTGCCCAAGAACAAACTCCTTCCACACATAAATCTGGAATTTGCATGTACAAATAGCCAGTCAGGAACGTAGTGTTAACTGCCTGTGTACAAGAATGGAGACATGTTTATATTCATGATATATTTGTCAGTGTATGCAACTGTATGCTTGTCCTGGGGAAAAAAATAAAACAGGTTAGGCAGCATTTTCAGAAGCTCATCCGTTTTCAGAAAAATAAAGGTTGCCTCAAAAAGCAACAAGACACCTAAGCGTGCACCTGGAAGTATGTGTTTTCCTTGAAATGGAGGAAAATACTAGCCTGGAATTTAAAGGTGTGTTTTCAGTTTGTGCAATTTGGGCAAGTGGGTATGTGGAGAAAACTAGGTATTACCATGATTCTTATGGTTTTGTTATTTGCTTACTGGCCAGTTGCCAAGTGTTCTTCAGACCAAACTGAAGGGTTTCTTATGTCAGGTGTGAGCTGCTCTGTTATTTTGTGTAGTCCTATTGTATAATTTGTGGACAGTCTGGTTACTTTCTGAATGTTTTTACTACTATTCTAAGAAATACTTCTCTTGTGGCTGTTGGCAAACTTTGGGATGACATTGAGAAATAATAATCAACTGGACTCTGGGTTGTTGGTTTGTTCTTTTTGTTTGTGTGTTTCTGCTTGTGTGTGATCAAAACATTTAGCATGTGTATAATCTCAAAGTATATACATTGTTGGTGACTTTCCTGTCATTTTTTCTCAACCACAAAAAATCCTTTCTTTCCTGACAACCAGTAAATTAAGCAAATAGCAATATTTTTCCTAAGGAAGCTTGAATATTCAAATCCAAAGAAATTTTGCACTCGTATTTCGCTACTTTCTGAACAGGTCAGCACATTGTTTTAGAAATCTACTCTGGCAATCTTTGTGTGCTTTCCACAGTTGCAATAGTTAATATCTAAGCCACACTTTAATTTTGAAGAATATCAGAAAACTTAGAGTAAACACATGTGGAAATTGTGCACTGACTATGCAGTGCATGGCTTGAATCATTCTCTCATTTTATAAATAATTATTATAACTACTGTTTGCCAGGAAGAGCAAGTCTTTCTTCCAGCCTCTCTGCTAATGGGTTTTTGCTGTCTTGTTTTAGACACGAAATCGTTTTGAAGGCACAAGGTCAGAAGTAGAGGAGCTCATGAACAAGATCAGAAGAAATCCTCAGGAACATAAAAGAGCAAATCACTTCACAATGGAAGGCTATCTCTATGTACAGGAAAAAAGTAAGGTGTATTCTTGTATTCCTATAGTACCCCTATTGTGCATACAGGCAAGTCTTATTTCTACAAAGGCGCAAAGAATTTACAGTTTATTAAACAGAGTCATCTGAGTAAATGTTCAGAGTCTCTAGTGGCAGCGTTATTGTGGCTCAAAAAGGACATAGTGCTGGAAGTGTGACAGTTCTTAGCAAAGGTGACTGAATTCAGGGAAGTTTTATTTGACCAAAGGATGTGTTTCATCTTATTTTTAGTCCCTTACTAATGACCTTCCCTAGAACTGTCAGACATTTGTTGTCAGACAACAATGTGAGTTGTCAAATTAGCCTCTGAAAATTGGGCTAGTTTAGTATGATGAAATCGACTGTCATTTCATTGGTTCAGTGATACACTTTCATTAAATAATTGTCATCATAGGGTCAAATAAAGCAGGCTATATGCTAGGTAGCTAGCGTTGAAAATCTTGCTGTGCATGTCACACAAATCATATCCTGTCAATACTTTGAACAATTATAAATCTTTCTCACTCTAGTAAAAAGAGTAAGATGCAGAGCTCTTACAGCTGAACAAATGACTAAAGTAGTTTATTATTGTTTTTTTAAAAAAACTATTTTGCATAAATTATATTTTAAAGATTTTTTTTTTAGTGCCTTATAGAAAGTTTTTTTGCTTATTCTGATGTGAGATTTTACTTTTATGATGTTTAATTACTGCTCAAGTAAAGACTTCTGTGAAATGTTTAATAAATTGAAGACCACAACATTTGGAGACATTGGTATTAGAGTGTTCAGGAACAAGTTTTAAGAGAACTAGCAGTAAAAAATAAGAAAAATCGTTATTCTGTGAGATCAGTTTGCTGGTCTTGGTCATGAGCTTCAGAATCAGCTGAAAGGATTCAGAATATGTGGGTATGTCTGAAGCTGAGTAGTGGAGGAACTGGACAGTGAGTGCTTCCAGGTTAGGAACAGTGAAATCCTCTGTCAGCTCAAGCTACTTCCGAAAGGCTTCCGTGATAATCTGGGGCAGAGTCATTCAAAAGAGAAGATTCCTTTGCAGACTTTTTTTTTTTTTCTTCCTCCCCAAAAAAAAGTAAATTAATAGACGCGAGGAGATACAGAGGGTCAGAATCCCAAGTTTTAACGGTGAACATTATGGTGCAAATCTCTCTAATACTGTATGCAGTAGGCTGGGCTCTTAAGTAAGTGTGTTCTATGTAGGGTGTGTACTGATGAATAGAGTTAGGAGTGAGTTTTGGAGTCAGAAAACGTGATCAGTCTGTTATCAGCAGGTAATATAGAGCTTGCAACAGAGCTGCATTAATCTGCGGTTATTTAGCTTCAAGTTACCAGGTGTAAAAAGGTTTCCACGTTCTGCTTAAAAAATATTTTCAAGGGATATTTATAGGGAAAAATTATTTTGTCTGTAGTAGTGAGACAAAGATACGTTAATAATTCTTTCTGTTTATCATTAAGCATAAATATGAAATACTAAATATATCAGTTTCTAGACTAGTAAGCACTGGTATTACTTTGTATAATGTTCTTAATTCATACCTTTGTTTTAAATGCTGTATTGTTAGGAATTAAGTAGGACTCTTAAGTATCATTTTGGAAAGCAGGAGCAGAAAACACGCAAATGGGAAAAAGTACATCCTGTTTAATGCTTTTGTTTTATGTAGGGCCTGCTCCCTTTGGTTCCAGTTGGGTGAAGCACTATTGCATGTATAGGAAGGAGTCAAAGAAGTTCACCATGATCCCATTTGAACACAGATCAGGAGGGAAAGTTGTAAGTCTGTTTTTATATTCTACTCTTATACTTGCCCTGTATGAAGATCAGAGGATGTGTCAGATAAGATGTGTCAAGTACTTTCCCTCTCTACCTCCTTGCCCTTTTTAAAATTCTTTCTGCATGTAATTCAGTCTGCCATTTAAGGACATTAACCTAAAGTAACAGATGGATTAATAAATAAGTATTCTTCAGACTTTTCAGTTGTTTCCTTTTAGAAGACCAGATAATACGATACAGATAACATGTAGTGTTTCACCATTTGGAATCTGGTTTATCCATGAAGGATTTAACTTGTTAAAGTATAAATCAGGAAAATATAATAGACTTAGAAATTTTTCTCTTACATGGTGCAGTCAGATTTTTCTTTCAGAGATGTAAGTACTAGAAGAGGGCCTAGAAAAGAGGGTTTTAATAGGAATATAAATTGTACTGACAACTGAATGTAATTTCAGATATCTTTGATAGCATCTGAAATATTCAAGACCCAAGACTCTGTTGATCTTTAAATGGCTTTAATTCCTATTGAAATAGTTGGGAATTGAGGGCGCTCAGCACTTTCAGAAATGACGTGTTAAATGAATGCATTAATATGGATGAAATGCATTTTGTTGCAAGGAAGAAGGATATCTGAAGCTGGAAAATAAAAGCTTGAGTCGATATTTGTGTAAATGCAGCACCCTGCCCTATCTTCAAATTTGGTTAGAAAAATCACATTGTTGGGATTTCATCAGGGTATTATATCCCATTAGTCTGAGCACAGGGGGAGATGGCTTTCATAATTTTGAGGACTGTTGTATATTTACAAATATATTGAATTTGGAAGAATCTTTCAAAAGCTCTGGAAAACCTGCCATACTGGAAATTAGTGGCATTTGGTGTCCTTAATCAGTTCAGTACTTCCATGAATTTTTTATCATGATTTACTCTAATTGTAATAAGCCATTTTTGTTAATATAGTAGGTGTGTAAGCATTTGGCGTTCTAAAACACTTATGAAACCATTTTTGTTGTATTAAAACATCTCCCATTTTCAAACCCACAATGCAATTACTCCTTCAGGGACAACCTCCTGAGTCTGGAGATCTTGAATAAGACAAGAAATAATTAAAATGTACAGTTAACCCTGATTAAATCCAGTACCATGCGTGCAGCATTCACAGATGAGATTATTTGATTGCTGAATACTTCAGAGTAAAATATGATTGTAGTGTAGGTTGGTCTTGAAGAAAGGACTGGTTCTGTAAGACAGATTACAGATAGTAAAGTACACTTAATTTGTTTTAGTGACTGTAGCAATAGCATTTACTATGGAAATCGCTGTGTCTGACATAAAATAGAAGTCTTTTACCCTCATTGTGTGCTTATATTGTAACATGCAAAATCTTTATGGCAGAACATTTTTGGTAGCTTAAATTACTGTGGTACCGTGTCATGCTGTAAAATACCAGCCAAAACAGGCTCAATATTTTTGCATTTACATCCCATGGCATTTATGTGCTATTGCACGGAGACCTGAAGGGCAACTGTGAGCAAATTCTTTTGGAAGTGTCAGTTTTCAGTATAGCTTTTGACGTTATTTTAATGTAAATTTACCTCACCTGGTTTGTATAGCTGCCTTACTGAAGCTTTCTGTTACTGGGTCAAGCATGTAAAAACTTTCTTTTCGCAGGGTGATGAGGAACTCTTCGTCCTTACGTATTGTACCAAAAGAAATATAGATACTACAGACAGGCGATTCTGTTTTGATTTAGAAGCTTCAGACAGGTAAGCTCATGAAACACACTAGAAAGGACTCTTTCTAAGTAGTAGTTAACATTACTGTAATATCACTGTTGTGTTTTCTTCTTATTTTTTCAATGCTTGTTCAGACTGCCAATGGGAAATAGTCACCGGAGGAGCAGGCAAGCACTACTGTGGCTCACTGGATTTTTACCTCAGTTGTGTGTAGCAGCAGCAGCAGGGAGGATCTGAACTGAAATGTAGACATTGTCTGAGCTGACATAAAAGAAAAGCAGAAGAAAAAGTTAGAGAAACTATTATGAATTGCTATTATCCTAGTGGAGAAACGTGACTTAAATTGAAGTACATACATAACATGTACTGAAAGACTGTGATCACAGTAATAATTCATAATCGTGACCATATTGTATCCCAAGCTTGCTTTCCAAAATGACGTGTTGTTGAGGGTTGATGCTGGATTCTTAGATTGCAAATGAACATCACTGCGATTTTGAGGCTTTTTGTAGCTGGTGTCATCATCTAGTGTATCTTGAACATTGTTGCCACTGCAGTGTTTTTTGAAACGCCACCATTTTGTTGCTTTATTTCAAAAGAGAAGAATTGCTTATTTATTTCATCAGAAGGATCTTAAAACATGATAAATACTGCTTTTCATCAGCACTGTAGTATTCGTTCATTTATGAAGGTGAAAGAATCCAACTTAATAGGGTACTGCAAATAAATACAGCTGTGGTCATACCATGTTCTTTTGGTGCAGATTGTATCTGTGCAGAACAGGATCATACAGAGCAGATATAAATTAGTGGACTGTTTCTGAGATTTTGCATCTGCCCCTTCTGAGCTGTTCTTAACCAATGCATTTGCTTGCTCCTTCCTTATACCAATTAATTGCATTCTGATTTATCACGTAGTAGGTCTTCAAGTTTTATAGGTGGTTGGGTTTTTTTATGATGAAATTCATAGAGCCCTTCATTTTAAATTTAGTGTGGCCAGTGCCTTCAGGCCCCTCTGTCCTACGGTTGTTAGTGGTCTGCAGATGTGTCTGTGATGAGGATGATACACACATGCACAGCCTTAGGTCAGAGGCTATGCCTAGCTTGCACAGCCAGTCAGACTGGCCTGCCTGAGGCACGCCTCTTTCTATAACAAGCAATGGGTAAAGGAATGCAAAATTACCACGGCATCCCAAAACTTCCAGCTCACATGGCAGATGCCAAGATACTAATTTACAGCTCAGGTGGCATTTCTCGCAGGCCTACAGCATGATTTGAACTTGCATTTTTGATTTGAGGAGGATGTGGTTTAACTGTTCTAACACCGTGTCTCAGCAGTAGGAAAGGGAGCAAAGATTTAAACTTCTGACATCAGCTCCTTCTGGGGCAGTGTATTGGTCCGTATGAAAACAGATTTCAAACTGAGTCTGATAAAGTTGCTAAAAAAGTACTGTGAGAAATGTCAGTCTATCCCCCTCTGTGTGTCATCTCTGCTCTATAGGGTATCTGGAGTTTGCACAGAGATGGATGGAGAACAATGTTTCCTTGATCCTGCAAAACATTTTTTCATTCTCTTCTTTGGTAAAAGCAGGGAAAAACCTAATCCATCTTTCTGTCCAGATATAATAGACACAACTGGTCCACTGTGACCTTGATATCAGACAGTTTTCTTTTAATAATATATGTGTGTAGTGCTGAGATGTTCCCATGGAGATTAGTTCTGTGCTGCAGGCCATTAGCTTGTTTCATTGGTATCAGTTCAGGGCACACTTATCCCTTGGCTTGTCCAAGTTAAAAAATAACATACAGATTGATGGCTGGCCATGGGGTTTTCTTTGTTCCCACGCTGTGGAAGGAGGGAAAGACTAAAATTTTAGGAAAGACTTTTCGGTATCAAACATTCAGCCTTGTGTGTGTGACTTGAGCATAATTTGGAGCTGGGGGAATATGTATGGATTTTTCTTTTAAAAAGAAAGCTGAGATGATTCTTTTTTCTTTAAATTCTGATACTTAAAACTGTTAGCTCTGAGGGTGCTAGGATCATGGCTAAATCTCTGAAAACTGATGTTTATCTGTTTGTAGTACTCCATCATGTTTAGTTGGAGGTTACTAGTGGTAAATATAGAGAAATTTAAATCTTAAGGAGACAGCAGAGGTTCTTTGGGGTAGGAAGAAGACTTTCTATTGATAAAGAGCATTATCCTTCTGAAATACTACTTAGATTTTAATTTTACCGATACAGGACAAGGAGGAGGAAAAACTTTGTCTCTTTTGACTTTAATTTGAAGAGAAATAAATAATGTTACATGCAGCATATACTGAGTTTGATGTATTGCCTCTAGGTGATACTCTTTGATACCTTGACAGTTATAATTTCAGTGAGGAGGGAAGTTTGCCCTGCATGAAAGTAACTCATTTGATTTTAGCTTTAACTAGTAAAAGAAGGTAGACAAGGAAAAAAACAAATGAATGTGTGGATTTTTAGTTAATTTGGCTGATTACTTCGGTTATTTTTTTCTACCAAGTGATTGTTTGCATGTTTATGATGGTTGCAGCTCTACTACGACCAGTTCACATTGAGAAAAAAAAAAACACCTGGTGTGGCTTGAGAAGCTGCTTTTCTTACTGTTATTACTAATACCAGTATTAGCTTGTTTTAGTCGTAAAAGTTATTAGTTGCAGAAATTAAGGCAAGGCTTCCCTCACCCACGAGAGCTCAATGTCTATCACTGAGAAGAGATTCCATTTTTATGGCTTAATAGTCTACTCGCTTTAGCTAATCAAAAGAGAATGACTTGCTTGATGGCTGCCCTTCTCCAAAGTTATAGTTGGGTCTCCTGAGTTTAGATTGGTTTGCTAGAGGGTGTCTGCATGACTTGTCCTCACATGTCTGAAAAGCGATTTGAGCAGGAGATATTTGTACCTATAGAATTTTACACTGCAATTAAATTGTGTGGTTTGATAAAATTTATGGCAAGGTGAAAACGAACTGGAAATGTCTCCAAGTTGTAAAAATATGAACATGCTGTGTAGACTGTTAGAGTTTTAAGTAAAAGTGGGATACGTGCTTGTTTTCTCTGTGCTGCTCTTTTTAGATAACGTTTTCCCTACAGCTATTTTGCTACTTGAAGATAGATTTAATACAAAAAAGAGAGAGAGGGGGAGAGAGATTGTTATGAATTTGTTCTCTATTTCTATCCATCTCTATATAATGAGATTTACAAATTTGCCAAAAGTATTGGAAGGGTGAATATAATGATTCTTTTTAATTGGCAGAAAAAATAATTACCCAAATAACCTCTTCTGCTTTTACCTTTCCTTGCTTTGTACACTGTGCTGAACCACACAATTACTCTTTCTAGTTTCCTATTATATAAAGATGAAAGTAGATTTATGTTAATCTCTGTTCACTAATCTCTGTCCCACAGTTCTTTCTTTTTTAGGAAAGTTATCATAGTGGAGTTTTGTAATGAGATACTGTGTTAAGACTTGATTATTTTTTATATTTACTGGAAAACTGTAATCATTGTCACTGCTCTAAAGCTGAAGACTATACATTGAATAAGTTGACAAATGATATTTTTTATGTAACAACACAACAATGCAAGAGCAAGTTTATTTAGAGTTCAGAAAACTCAGTGACTCCCAGCAAGCATTGGAATCAACAGGCTATTAACAATGAGCTTTTTCAAATAAATAGTTTGCAGGTTACATTGACTTTCCTTTTTGCTCCCTATCCTTCCTATTTCCTACTGTAATTATCAGTTCTATATCTTTTTATTTTAAAGATGAGCAGTGTTCAGTAATTAAGCAAAAAACCTAACCCTGACTTTTAGGCCAATGAGCTTGTAGTTGGAAGTAGAATTTGACAAGACTTTTTTGATTGCTGGTAAATGCAGTTACTTGGTGTGGTTGGTACGTTTGCAGGCCTGGAGTTCCTGTAACCATGCAGGCGTTTTCTGAGGAAGACAGGAAGATGTGGATGGAAGCCTTGGATGGAAAAGAAGCTGTAAGCGTAATTTATTTATATTAATTTATAGTGTAATGGAGAAATTCTCTCACCCTCTGCTTCCTGATCCCATTTATACTTTAATAAACTGGGATTATGTAGTTTGCAAAATGATAGATTCAATGAAGAAAGAATAAAAATGAAATAAAACTCAGGAGAGATGAGTAACTCGGTAAAGCTCAGCATAGATAACTGCTAATGCTGATATGAGAGATTTTTCTTTGTAATGACAGCATTGATTTTTATAAATGGTTTCTCATCACAATGATGATATTGGTATTCTACAAAATGTCTAGTTCTAAGCATGTCTACTTAGCCTTATGCTGACATACTGCATTCCAGTGGCAAGACTTGCATGAGTTAGTTATAAGGTATTCTTATTACTTTCTTTTTTTTTTAATTAGATAAAAAAAATCCTTGTCAATGAGAATGAAGTTGTACTTGAATTTGCTAAATTTCTGGTTCATATAAGAAAATGGGCCTGAACTGCAGAATTAAAACACACTGCGGGATATTCTTACTATCACAAATATTATATTGGTCTTGTGGACCACAGATAATGGGGTTTTCTAGTCAACAACACAATCTTGTGTCTGTCTCCAGTAGTTGGCTACTAGGGATTTTAACAGTGGGTTTTATTAACATCACTGTTGTAAAAATCCTGTTTCATCTGCAGAGCTGTTTATACCATCACATGTTGTCTGAGCTGGACTCCCCAGTAAACTTACAACCTCTGGGAATGCCAAGCTGGGACATGACTCCCAGGATTTATAAAAGCAGTTCACAACAATCTGAGTGAACTTGAATTGTGGGAAATTAACCTGCAGAGAAACATAGGAATGTGGAGCACGTAAATCACAGTTAATTTCAGTGGCTGTAATCAACATTGTTCTGCTCTCCAAGGAACTGTATTTTTTGAGAACTTTAAAAAATTTTCACTCCTTAAAAAGTGCAATTATGTACTTTCTGAGGGGCATAGACCTCTGGTCCTACTGTTAGAGCTGTTGTAGTTAGAAGTTATATGTTCTAGCTGTAAATGACTGTATTTGTGCCTACTGGGCATTAAGATTGGGGGTGTCGTTTCTGGTTTCATAAAATTCTTGAAAATAATTTCTGTCTTTTTACTGTTTTTGTTAGCTGTTCATCAATTTGAATAGAGCAAATGCAAAACGAGAGGGAAGTAAGTACATGAATTACTATTAAAGCTGATTTTTGTTAATGTTTTGCAACTGAGAAAGGCAAAGGTAAATAGTTTTCTGTGGATCCAATGTAATTCAAGATTTTATTTTTAATCTTGAGTTCTGAATATATTTGTGGATTTTGTAACTAATGGGTTTTCACAGTAACCCAGTTTAGAACATACGTAAGAATTGTAGGACTGGATATAAGCTAGAGAAACAGTCTGATTTTTTTTTTTTTCCCCACCCAATTTACTTTATGCTTGAAATTTGACTCAAAAAAGGGTTAATTTGTATGTAAATTCATCATAGTTTAATTCAGATTGTGTGTACACATCTGTTAGAATGCATAAGTATGGTTTTAAAAGCAATCAGAGCTGAACATAAAGGTCAGCAAAAAACCTGAATGCATGTATTTAAAAGTTAAACCATAATGCAGAAGTAGAAGAGATGGCTTTCTTTAAATGATGTTAGCTTTCTTCTGTTAGCAAAGTATATGAGTGGAAACAGTTATCCTTCTTGCATTAGCAGGCAATTTATGCTTGCTTTTTTAAAAAAAAAAAAAAAATAATTAAGTGGTTGGTTAAAGCTGGATCCTGGTGTTATTAATAGAAGTTTTTCCACAGATTTTTATTTTTGTGGTGCAAGACCAGGTCCCCAGGAGCAAGGAGGCCAGATGTTTGGGGGAAAGGCAATTTTGCAGTATAAGCTTTTAGATGAAGTTTTGATGTGAAGAAAATAATCAAACAGGAACAACAAAGGAACACTGGATCTCAGCTGTTGTCCTGTTAATACATCTGCTTTTATGTAGTCAGATCATTAACGACTGTAAAATGATATACATGTGTCCTGTATCTTTAGTGTGGGAATTTCTTTGGCTTAGGGTAGGACTCAGTAAAAGCCCTGCTGTTGATGATTATGTTTTTTCATCATAAGCACTTCCTTGTCCCATTTGGTTGACTTGCTCAGATGTTGTCGATGTTGCAGTAAGTACTGTTAAATTCCACTTTGCATCTGCCAACATATGTACCTAATCAGAGATCTTATTCTTCAAAGGCTGCTGCTGTGAACAGATTCAGTGAAGCCACTACCACCAGAATAAGCCTTGACTTGGTCTAGGCAGGGTTGTGAAGGAGAAAACTGGAATTTCTCTAGAAAAAGTGATGAAGTATTCCTGTTCCAGAATATTTAGTCTTGCCTGAAAAGTACTAGCTATGTGGTTAAGTCCAGCCTTATTTTTCTGTGAAAAAAAATAATTGTAATGGTGCTTTAAAACTTTTCAAACTTTTTTTTCCCCTTGTAGGTGCACAGTTGGATAAGATAGGGTTCACTGTCATCAAAAAGTGCATCAGTGCTGTTGAAACACGAGGTAAGGATCAACCTGACCTGTTTGTGGAGGGGGTGAAGCAGCTGGTCTGCTCTTTGAAGAAGGCCCATGTGTTCTAGTCTCCTGCAGATCTCTGGGAAAAAGTTAACATGGTGGATATTACACTGATTACACTGACCAGGGCAGGAGCTTCCTTCTGTCCAGTCTTTTTTATATGGCTTTCCCTCAACAAATGTGTTTCAAGAAGTGCTCAGAAGGGGGTAATAGCACCTCTCTTAACAGACAAAACCCATGTTTGTGGGTAACAGCTGAGAAAAAACCCTGCATCTTGTAGAAAATTCTGTACTTTTGCTTTGGTGTTGGAACAGGCTAATTAATTTTTGCATTCCATTTGTGGACTGTTTTCTGTTTAGTCGCTTAAGACAGAAGAACAGGAGCTGAGCAGACAAGTGAATAACAAAAAACGTATTGAAGTGGAGTTAGTATCACACCAGAGACAAGGATGCAGTCAGGCTTACTGTTGCATGTACCCATTGTCATACCTCCAAAATTGGAGACAGCAGAGAAAAGTCAGTGTGGAGACAGTATTTAGGAGGTGGTTGGGATGATGGTTGTGGAGAGGCTCTCTGACACAGACCCTGTGTAACTTGAGCACTGGATAATACTAGTTTTTGATATTCCTGCTCTATGAGGAGACAGCAATCCGTGTGTGGACATGCTGAAATGGGAGGTGACCAGCCACTCTGAGGCTCACTGCATTGCATATGGTACTGTGTGGAGAACCTGGTTGGTTGTTTCTGGTTTTTTTTTTAAACAAGAGGTGAAGAGATGAAAATAGGTAATTAGTTATGGTGTATTTCTTGGTTTGCTAAAAGAAATGTTGAAATTTCTTGGTAAATTTTGTTTTTCTCCGAAACGACCTTCCTTCCTGCCTTCAGAGGGAAGACATGATTTTTCAGGATTTGTATCTTTTTTTCTAGAGATTTAGCATTGTGCAGGGCAGAATATTAATGTCTTTCTTTGTATGACAGTCTAGCTTAAATAAGATAGCTGAACAGAAGAATGGGTTGGTCAGTGGCTTCCGTTGTCATGGTTTGAGCCCAGGAGAAAACTGAACATGACACAGCCCCTCACTCATGCCTTCCCCCTCAGGACTGGAAAGGAGAAAATACAACAAAAGGCTTAGGAGTTGAGATAAGGACAGAGAGGGATGATTCACCCATTATGGTCACGGGTGAAAGACAGACTCTCTAGGGGAAGAAAAAGAACATCAGTTTAATTCAGATGCTAACATCACCACCACTTAACAGAGGCAGTAGGGCAGTGAGCAGCATTACCACACCTTAAAAGCACTTTCCACCACCCCTCCCTTCTTCCTGGGCTCAGCTCTGCCCCTGATCTCTCTAATTCCTCTCCCCCAGCAGCGCAGGGGGCAGGGGATGTGGGGTCTGGTCAGTCCCACTGCTTCTTCCCCCTTAGGAGGAGGACTCCTTGCGTTCCTCCCCTGCTGTAGTGTGATTCCCCTCTCACAGGACACAGTCCTCCACAAACTTTCTCTGATTTGAGTCCTCCTCACAGGCTGCCGCTCTTCCCAGGCTGCTCAGGTGCGGGTCACCCCGGTGTGTTCCAGTCCTTCCAGTGCTGAACTACAACAGGGGGGTGCTTCTGCCCTCAGAGTCCTGGTGTTCTCTGGGCTCAGCCCCCTGCTCTGGCGTGGGGTCCTCCACGGGCTGCAGGTGGCATCTGTTCCCCCGGTGGCCTCCATGGGTGCAGGGCACAGCCTTTCCTCTCCCCATGGGCTGCAGGGGGGTGTCTCTGCTCCAACATACCTCCCCCTCCTCCTCTGTTCTTCCACTGACCTTAGTGTTCACAGAGGTGTCTTCCCCACAACTCCTCCTCACCACTCCCACTCCTCCTCCCAGATTCCCCTTCTTAAATACGTTATGGCAGAGGTGCATCCACCATGACTAATTTGGCTCACCCTTGGCCAGAGGTGGGTCCGACTTGGAGCCAGAGGAGCTTCGAGAAGCTTCTCACAGGAGCCACCACTGTAGTCCCCTGCTACTGGAACCCCACCGCACACACACAAACCCAGCACATCCATGTATGCACTTACTATGCAATATTATTAGTAAGACTGAGCAGCCTTTATGATACTGAGAGTTTAGCCTTGAAACAGCAGGAAGTATCTGAAATTGTTTTTCTCTTGGACTTTCTTGTATCAGTCCTGTCTGATGCATTAAAGATGTTGTTCCAGATTATACCATATTCTATCTGGTGTTATTTTTGTTCGTTCTGTTCTTTTGAATATTTTCCTAATAAGGTTTGCTTGTCTCATCACTTTAAAAATTTCAGTTACTGGCATTTACATTCTGAGTATTTCAGCTGGGAAGCACTGCAGATAAAGCTGGCATCCTACAGATAAGTTGCCTTCACTGCAAAACCCTACTTTGATATCGAATGGATCTTCTCTTTGCACTGGATGAGGCAGATTTTATGAAAAGGGTAGCATGGGGTAGCATGAGGTCATGTAACGAATGGCTGGTTTTGGTCTACAAAAGACTGACTGATTACCTTACAATAACCTTATCAATCATGCTTACTCTAAGCAGTGTGGAGTACATTGTATTTTGGTTTATTATCCATAGGTGTGTTAAAGAGTTTTCTTCAAGTAGTCTTTTTTTTTTTTTCTTTCTTCGACACCCTGCAAGGAAAGTGCAACAAGAACATAACAGTGGAAAAAGTGTTCACGCTTTTTCTTGAAGTGGATATTTGAAAAAATGGGTTAGAATAAAGTGTTCCTTCTCATGGCTGTGGCTTAAAGTGACTGGTGGTTCAAGTCCACCCTGTCCTTTATGCCTTGGTTTAGGGGCATGAAAGAAGGTGCAAAATATATGTGTAACCACAACTAATACTGTTGTTCAAGATGGATGATAAACTTGTGCAGATTAGAAGCACATGGCCTTGTAGTGAGATCTGCCCAGAAGCATACTTGGAAGAGAAGGAGAGTTGCCAAAATTAGCTACAGTATTTCCTCTCTTGGGAGACTTTGCAGCTTTTGCTATCCCTTATACACAGCCTTTGTTAGACCTGCACTCAGTAGAGTGCTTTGTGGAAATTACTACCAATGAAAATGACTTTCATCTATTAATTTTGTTTTGGGGAGTACTTAAGGAAAAAAAAAAAAATCAGTATTCAATATTTATTTTCCCAGGGTTTCAGGAATTGGGTTTAGGTGAGGTACTACCTTCCAGGAACTCCGCAGTCCACCTAGCTCTGTTTCAATGAACTGAATTCATCCACTGCATTTCAGGCAGTTGTTGATGCTTTTCTGTTTATCAATACGGAACTTAACATCAACTGCATTTAAAAAAAAAAAAAAAGCAAAAAAGAAAAAAAAAGCACCTAACAAAATCCTGACTTCATCCATGAGACTAACTGAAGCATTCCTAAAGGCTCAGTTTGTTTTCTGCACAACCTGCAGGACCACCTGCTGCTACCTGCCAAGCTAAACAAATGGAGGGCCAGGAGAACATTCAGTTGTTTGCCTCAGAGGGGTTTGGCCAAATAGTTGTATGATGAAGAAAAACCATCTTTCAGGCTGCAGATTTTATACCTATTCTTGTTCTTAAAACAATTTTTACTTGATTATTTTACTTTAATGATAACACATCAAGGCAAGTTATGTTCAGCAGAAGAAAACAGGACAGATGCCTCTTCAGAGACTGTGCTTGTGTGCCATGTTTTTATCTCTTTTAATCATAATGGGTGTGAGGTTGGCGTGGGTGGAAAGAGAGGACAGTCTAGTGTGGGTGGAAACTGAGAATAGTCTTGTCATAGCAGAAAAAGTCTGGTATTCAGAGAGAGAAGAGCATAACAGATATATTGAACATAAACTTGTCAATGGCTGGATAATTTTTTCTCAGTTACAATCCCTTTTATAAAGCCAGGGAGGAAATTATCTGCTCTGAATGAATAGAAGAATCAAAGGCAGTGTCTTGGTTAAAATGCATGTAAGCTTCTGATTCAGCGTTGCTTTGCAAGACATTGGCTGTGCTTTACCTGGTAGGAGACGCTGAGGCATTGAGACATGCAGCCTGTCTCTCACGTACTGAGCATGATGCTGCTTGGATGTGCACCCATGTTTTGTCTCTGAGAGAACATTTTGGGATTCTGTTTGGAGTATTTTATTTATAATTCTCGTACTCAGAATAATACAGCGGGGTAAAACTTTATAGAAACATCAAAGAGCTGTTTGCCCTGCTAGTAAAGACTCTGAGAATGTTTTTCTGTGCAAGTACTTGGTTGTACCTTCTGTGAGGATGGGTAGGTAAGTGTTTGCCAGAGAAGTGTTTGTCTAGATTTTAGAACTGCCGGAGCTGCTAATCTGAGCTGCAGAGAGAGATGGCAGCATTGAGCTGTCTGGCCGGCCTGTCTGCTCATGAGAAAGAAAGAAGATGGTGAGGAGGAAGTAGAAAACCTTTTCACGTAACAAAAAGAAATCTGGTATTACCTTGAATTTAGAATGTCACTTGCATGGTTGTTTCTGTACTATGGAATTTGATATAAAAAGTTGTGCTTGCAACTGTATTACTAGTCTGTGTCAGCCATATGTACAATGCCAGCCACAAAGTAAACTTCCCTACATGCCTTGCTTACAACAGTATAAATTACTATTTTACTTACAATACCTTATTTTTCTAAGCATGTTTCACAAATTGTGTACCTGTGACAAATTCCAGTATCAGACAGCCAAACGTCTCGACATAATGGAAGTATAAAGGAAATTATGCTGCGGGGCTTTACTGCTCAAGTTGCCAATAGTGACTGGTTGAGCCGGCAGACACAGTGTCTGAACCCTTCAACATTTTAGTCAGTGGTAAGCTATTCCTTGCAATGAGTCATCTTGTCAATTGTGTTCAGTAAATGCCAAGCACTATCAGTCTTGGATGTGCTGAAGATCTGAAATGTGCAGATTAAATCAGGAATGGTAGTGTTTCAAACCAGGCTTGTATATTTTAAATAAAACATCACATTAAGGTATGTTTAAAGGTATCATTTAAAACTGCATTGAAATATTAATTCCTCCTTGCACTTCTTGATGTCTGCTAGCAATTAGCTGTGCTTTTTTCAGGTTGATGAATTTGAAACTGATCAATTATCTGATAATTACTATCACAGACTCATGATTATTTCTGGAGGCTTGTCTTAGTTTCAATACTGCCATAATTTTAGAGACTTTTGCATATAGTGTCTGTTTTAATATTGAGCAGTAGTTTCTGTGGTCTGACCTTACCGCTAAATGTATGTCTGGGGTCAACACAGTTTGGTTCCCCTTAGTTTTAATGCTCTAGAAGCACAGGAAGTCACGAAACAACTTCTGAGATAAGCAAAAGCTGAGATGTATTTGACTGTGACAGTATTTCTTCAGCTTTTTGGCTTCTTGCATACGATGCAGAAGGCTTGTTCTGTGGTACTAAAAGTAGTGGAGGACATTGTATAAAAAAAGTGTGATGCATTTTGGCAGAGCATTAAAAAGCTTGGTGTTACTTTTGTACCAGAATTTTCCTGGACACCTCTGAGAAATTGGAAGTAAAAAATACTTGCTGCTCTCAGGACAGATTCCTAGTGCATCCTTGTTTGGAGTGAATCAAGGACTGTGCTTGCTTTTTGAATTTTTTTTTTAGTGTTGGCAGTCTTTAAGTAGTGTATAACGTGCTATTGCACTGTTGTTCAGGGGATCATTGGAAAACTTGGTTGGGTTGATCACTTCATATTTTGAGAATAGTAGTATTGTGGGCACACAGGGTTTTTTTTTTGCAGTTCGTTCTTTTGTGCACAGCTAAACTGCGAGCATACCCTAGAGTCGTTGTTTTTTACCACAGATGAAATGCTGGAGATCTGGTTTATTCTGTTAATTTGAGCCAGCTCTGAACATGACATCTAGCTTAAGGCTCAGCATCAAGACAGTGGTGCCTGTATCCTGGGGAAAGAAAAGGGCCAATTTGCTCAGGTGGAGCAACTGAGAGAAGTAGCAGCCTGTCAGCTCCCCACTGGGACGGGGGATGGAGCAGTGTTAGCAGGGAGGAGGCATTCAGCAGGCTCTCAAAGGGCTGAGATGGCCGAGGAGGCTGCAGACTGTGTGAGGAAGAGGAGGGGGTGAGAGGAGAAGATGTAGCAAGGCCAAGCAGAAAGAGGAAGCAGAAAATGCAAAGTTCTTTTCACGTATTGAGAATTATTGCTGCATATTATGGTTGTGTCTGACAGTAATTCATTAAAAGGCTAATGATTTTTACATACTTCATCTAATATTTATTTGGGAAGAAACTTTTTCTCATATGACTGGTTTTAATTTTCCTCCTCTGGGTTGGAACGGTTTGGTATTGAAACCGGGAATTCTCCACAAGTCTTCCTTTGTTGAAGGATATTTTGAATAAGAATACCACATCATCTGTTATTTGAAAAGATTTCCTTGGAGTAGAAACACAGGTATTTTGTGGTATTTCTACTCTTCCAGGCCAATGTGAATATAGAGGTAGAGTGTGGTGGTGTTTGTAGATGGCTGCTTTTTATGTGGCCTCTCAAACATCTGTCAGCTTCAGAACTGTAACAGTTTACCTCTCACTATATGAGCTCTGAAACAATGCAGCAGACAAAGACATCCTTTATTTTGCCCTTTCTTTCCCGCCCCTTTTCTTCCTCCCATTCTCCTTCAATTTATATTCATAGTTTTACTTCCCTGGGGATAAAAGTGGGTGTGGTAAAGGAAGACACAAACAGGGGGAGAAAAGGGGTAGAGAAGTGAATGTGTGTGTGAGAGGATGGAAGGGCAGGGAGGAATGATAGGCAAGTAGTCCAGTGTCCACATGAAATGAGAGTAGGGGACTGAAATTATTATGCCAGTTCTGGCTACTCTATTCATCCCAAGGAAAACCAGAAGTACCGATTTCAGTAACCTGTGGTGGTGGCTCTGGACATAACTAGTATGTGGACCGCAGTGGGTTGGAATGAGGCCCTGCATCTTAAATGAAAAGCATTTACAAACTTGAAAAAGCATTGGTTTTGAGGACTGGGAATAGGCTCAAGTTTTTCTTTATTTTATCCAAACTCTTTTTGTGAGCCACATATTTAGAAAAAAGCAAAATTACATTTATTAAAGAAATCTTAATTTAGCATTTGTTGGTTCAGTTCTTGCGTTATTAGAATGTGGATGCTGATGTATCCAAAATGTCATTTAAAAAATCTGAAAACAGATAGCAATTTTTACTTTTTTTTTTTTCCCCAAGTAAAGATTTGTCCCTGTTTGCTTCTACTCCCAGTTTCTGAAGTGGAATTGAGGTACATGAAAACTTTATCAAAACATAACATGAATTTATCTTAAAAACACAGAAGAAAAGGATCCTTGCAATACTTTATTTATAATGTTGTTCTCACAACTTTGTTAAGACTATGTAGTCTTGCTGTCTTTGAGGAGAATGTGTTGCCTGGGGAAAAGTTTTAATGCTTAATTTGACTGTGGTTGATTTTTCTGCCTTTTTTTTTTTTTTTTCTTCTGCATAATAGGTATAAATGACCAAGGATTATACAGAGTTGTGGGGGTGAGTTCAAAGGTCCAGAGACTTCTGAGTTTGTTGATGGGTATGCCTCTATTTTTACAATCATTTTTTCAATAATTTGTTTCATGTTGTTTTACTGTCAATATTTTAGTTTTAAAAGTGTCTGCCCGGAGTTGTTCTTTATATGGGTCAAATCTCGTTTGCTTTAGTCCATGCAAATAATCCCCACATCGTTGTGAGTTCCCCTGGTTTAGCAAGATTAGTTGGTAGGAATAAATGAAGAGAACTGCTATGGGACATGTAGGAGCAACTCATGGGCTCTGTGCAAGGTTCATGTAAGTGGGATTAAAGCAGACTAAATTGAAGGGTCTGATCAGAAGATTCAAAATACCAAATTCAAGACAGCTTGAAGCTTATTGCTTCATTGTTTGAAGTTTCCACCTTTCTTTTCCCTTGTCTAAGATGTACTGGTGTACACACCCATGTGCCACTTGTAGTTAATCACTGCAAAATAAGACACTTATTTTATGCCTACTGGCAAAGAGCTCTTTGCTTTAAGAGAAGAAATATGATATACGTATTCAGAATAACTTTGTGCCAAGGCGGGAGACAGATGGAGAAAATATTTGTTTTTATAAACTTAGTAGTATAGCTCTTATATGTGGGTAATGTCTTAGACTCTCTTGTACCTAGTTAGCCATGTATAGCTCTTAAGATTTTTTTTTTGATTCATAAAATTATTCTCAGAAACTTTTTTCCCCTTTTCTTTCTGGAAATTTTGATGCATCTTTAATCCCAGTGACTGTAATTCTCTTGCTGCTCTGCTGTCCCTAGGGGGGGGAAAAAAAAAAAAAGAAGAGGTATTGGCACCTGGATGAAGTCCCTTGTCTGCCTGATATCTCTTACCAAAGGAGTAGCCATGACTGCAAGATGTGCCGTGTTTCCAAATTTCTTGTCCTGAGCACTGACAGTACATGCAGTCAGACAAGACCACTGGGATTAGTTCATTTTTATAGAGCTTCCAAACCTGTCACTTGACAGCAAAGGTCTGATTCTCAGGGATTCATTGGTATGCGAAGAAGCTTGTTTGCAGTTTGCACCAGGCTCTTCTCCAGAACCATGCATGCTCCATCTGTGCTGATAACACAGTGTTCTTTGGCACTGCAAACTGGAGGAAGCCAGAAAGTGAATTCATTTCATTACCCCAGACATTATGTGAATGACAAAGCGCTTTTATATTATATGCTGCTGTCAGTTTGGTGCCACCTGTAAGACTTTTTCTTTTCCTTCCTTTATTTTTTCAAACAGGCTGTCTCTTCAGAAATGTAAGACATCAGGCTTGAGGACCTGCATGTCCTATCAATCTGTCATAATGACCTTGCTAAATATTAATTTATGATGTCTTACTTTAATCAATATTAACAGCACCCTGAAGTTCTCCATTAGTGAACACAAACCTGACTGTATCTTAAAAGTATTGTAGCAAAAGACTCTTTTTGGAAATATGAACTGGGATTAATAAAAATGACTGATCTATAACAGATCCTCATGGCTGTTTATCTATGTTGGAGTTAGCCTCAATGATCAATAACCATCTTTAGCCATTGACCATAGGAAGGATGACGTGTTATCACTCAGAGAGTCTCAGTTAAATGCATTTGATATCATAAGATGTTTTTCAGTTTTGTACTTACTGGCTTAGCTTGGGCGTGCAGGTCTGGCAGGCAAGTTTTCCTCTTTGCCATTAGTGGTATCCAAATTAAATAGACTCAGGTTGCCAGTGGTTCAGTAGCAGCTGGAAGAGTTTACTGGGGATTCCAGCATCTGCTTTAAGTTATTTTTTAAAATTAGAAACATTTTTTGTCATTCCCAAGATTCATATATTTATTTGAAGCAGGAAGAGTACAGTGGTATCAAGATGAGGCAAAATACTGAACAAAAAAAGTTAGGATGCAAGCAGGTGCTCATTTTCTGGTGATTTGTTGAAAGTGATCCTATCTGTGCTCTTTGTCTGTCCTCAGAGAAGAATAAAGAGGGTTTCTTTTTGATATACAGTGGTACAGAGAATTTAAAATGACTGATTAATCTTTAATCCTTTGTCTCTGGGTATACTCTTAGATAGCTTTTTATACGAAAGATCCTTTCAGAATCATAAAAACCTCATATTAACTTTTTGTATTTTAAAATGTTTCATAAGATTTCAAAGTATTTTAAGCTACCTATCATTGACTGTGAGGTTCACAGTGTGAAAGGCCCAAAGTGAAAAAAAAAAAAAAAAAGTCTTCCAAATGGTAACCAGGGACACAGTAGCATGTAGTTTTGTCTCTTTCTCAGAATATTTTCTGAGAAAATTTGGGAAAGTGCATTTGAGACTCAGGAGAGTATAGAAGACCAATATATGCTTTTCTAATGTTACATATGCATGGATTTTAATCTTTAATGTACAAATCTAGTGAAATTAAGTCTTCTGTACAATGAGGCTCAAATTAAATAAACAATTCTCCTTTAAAAAAAAAAGTTAATTTGCAATTTACTTAGACCTTGAAGTTATTTGTAACTAGCATTGTGGTATGGTGGTTTTTGCAGCAATGATCTCGTCTAAGTGAGGCATTTGGTAAGGAAAACACTCATTACATTTAAGGGAAAAATTAAATTAATCTGATACCTCATTGCAAAAAGGGATATGAATTAGGACTTATAATGTTATGGGAATCTAAGCAATTCAGAGTGCGTTGTTAGCCATCAGGAGGCTTAGTTCTTGAAATGTGTCAGGGACCAATTGCTGTTTCATCTGCGATCTATGTTATAGATCTGGTGTGTCTCATTTCATACAACCTGACTACATAGACTTCATACAAACTGCTACATCAGTCAGCTTTCATACAGACCTTGCTCATGGTGAGGTGGCTGCTGAGGACATGGACTTTCTACTGATGAGTTCAGTTTTGATTTCAGATACTGCCTGGTGTGAAAAATGCCAGACATTATATGTTGTAGAAGAAAACTTTTGGGTACCTCTGCCTTTTAAAACAGCAGCTTTCAAAACAATTACACTGAGTTCCTCATCATTTTATATACAGTAAATTACAGTATGCACACACTCCTACAGTGGACATATTGCATATGAAAGCAGAGAGTCTCCTCCTAATGTAGTTGAGTAAACTGGACTGTTTATAAACTCTAGCTCCCTTATTTTATGCAAATCTGTCTGTCAATTTAGAGCTGATCTGTCAAAAGCTGTTCCGTAAATGTGCATGGTTATTTTTATATGGATAAAGTTGCCTTTTGGTGCACGGTGGCTGCTATGTGAACAAGTAGCAGGAAAATTAGTAGAGTCATTTTTGAAATCCTAGTTCCAGTTGGTATAATGGCCTGGGATGTCTGAAGTAGAGGGAAAAATGGAGTGGGATCAATCAAATATATAGTCTGTTGGGGCACAGAGCTATGTAGGGCAACTGTCAAACCCGAAAGTGAAAAAGATGTCTGTAAGTCTTGATAGCTTCTGCAGTCAGACTCAGGATTGTTAGGGGTTGGTAGCAGGGCCAAATTTTTGTTATTTTCTTTTTTCCCAAGAGATAATGAAATATTTCATCAATACCTTCTGGTTCTTATTTTAAGAGACTTTGAAATTCAGATGCTTGTTATTTTCATCCCCAAATTGATCAACAAATTTCACATAATTGAGTGCATCCTTTGACTGTAAGGGAGGTTGATGGTTATGAAGCAGTTAATCCAGTTAAAAACTGGATATTACATAGTGGTTTAGTAACAAAATCCCCATAGATTTCACTAGTTTCTGATGTGAGGGCAGATTTTATTTAATTTATTCAATAGAAAGGTTTTCTTCTCAAAAAAAGAGAATTTGAACACAGCTAGCATGCTAGAAAAAAAGAAACTTTGTCCTGAGACAGTCTTGAGTATTTTGGATGGTGGTTGGCTAGTAACAATTTGGTAGAAAATGTTATCTGACTTGTATTTTAAAATGAGATTTAAATAATTGATATAATGAGGGAGAATATTCAGTTACAGAAATAATTGCTTGGCACAGCCTTTAGAACAGAATTATTTAGTCTCAGTAAAAGGACTGCAGCTTTAATCAAGGATCCTAATTTGATTTTTTAAATGTGTCTGTCGTTTGTCTGACAAGCAAAGTAACAAATAAATTCTGAATTGTATGAACTGGTCAACACATAATCTGTGTCAGCTACTGCTGTAGTTTACTGTAGTGACTGACAGAAACATGTAGCAGTAATAATAGAAGCTGAAACACTTGAAGTTACCAAATACATGGAGCTGGTTTGGCCATTTACGTGTCATTTTCTTGTGTCAGCTAGCTGTTGTTTCCCATTTTGAGGCCAAAGTGATTGATTTTTTTAT